AGGAAAGGAAAGGAAAGGAAAGGAAAGGAAAGGAAAGGAAAGGAAAGGAAAGGAAAGGAAAGGAAAGGAAAGGAAAGGAAAGGAAAGGAAAGGAATTACAGAAGTAAAACTCAGGTAACCATGACGTGTGGAGGTCAGAGTGTGTCATGGCATCATGGAATGCTTTGGGTTGGAAAGCTCCTCAAAGTTCACCTAGTTCCACCCCCAAAGCAACTGTTCCAAAAGTTGCTATAGTTCCAATCCTCAGTGGCTGGAATTAGATGGATTAATTACAGTTATCTACTGTTAGACATATATATGCTGTACCATAGTTCTATGTTTTAATTGCAGTCTGACCCCCAGTCCCTCTGCACCCTGGGACTGGGAGCCTGAAGCTCCTCAAATACAAATATGCTTTTACACCTATTTAGGAACTCCAAAAGTTCTACCTGAATTGTTACAGCAATGATTCTGAAAAAAAAAAAAAAAAAAAAAAAAAAAAAAATTTAGAGCCCTGCATAGGTAGTGTCAAACAAGCTGCTGCCCAGAGCAGTGGCACAAGACAGAGACAAGAAATTAGATGGTTTGGGGTTGTCACCTCCCTTTTTTGACAACATAACCTGGATGCCTGATGGCCCAAAGAGAGTTTCCAAATAGTTATGAGCAGTGTGGTTTTAAACTGTGCTCTCAGGGTGTTTAATAGTGCCTCAACACTACTGGCATCTCCCATGGGATGCTGGAACCAGACTGAACCTCTCACAAGCAGCACTTGGTGACTTTCAGGATCAAGCCTGTGCTTCTCACCGGGGGAAAACCTGGCCCTGCTATTGAAGCCTACATTCTCTCTTGCTTAATTTCTTCCAATTATTCTTAATTGTGCCCTCAGGAGTAGAGTTCTGTGAATAATTGATTTTTTTGTTTTGTTTTGTTTTGTTGCCAAACTGAGGGGAGGGGAATTATTCAAGGTTGATTGGAAAGGAAACACATTTGGTTTTGCTTACCATATAAAAAGCCTTTCTCCATAGTATGTTTCAGGTCAAACAAAACCGCTCAAAAAACATGAAAATATTTTGTAAACAGTAAAGTGTAACTACATGACATCTTAAAGCATCATTTGAAATGTAATAAAGTCAAAACATGGCATTTAAAAACAGTGAACTGAGAAGATTCAAATGCAGCACTTTGGAGCAAGGGATCTGATACAGATCAGAGTCAATCAAGATGGATGAGAATCTTCATTTCCACCCTCCACACGTATTTTCTAGTGAACTCTTTTCCCCATTTTCCTTCCCAGATCACCCAGTTTTGCTATGATCCAACTCAAAGAACCCTGTCTTTGGTATTGGTTTGATATTCAGCTTACAGACAGGTAGATTTATGCCCCTTTCCTGAGCATTTCTTTAGCCAAGCTCTCCCTCATTAGTTCTGCTCTTCTTTC